AGTAACAGGGTTGACTGTTGCAGGGTCGACTTAAACCAGCCATTAATCTCCTTGTGACAGGGCAAATGGAAGCTTGTTTTGTGCAACAGGGAGGGGCAATTGAATGCAATTTCACACAAAAAAACAGGGTTGACGTGTTGCGCTTGACCCGCTCAGTTTTCCACAACAAAACACCAGAAAATGGCCAGAAAGAGTAGAAACAGCACAACTGCTTTTACACTAAGATTTGACTATTAGATACGGATGCTCAATATGGAAGTGGTCCGATGAAGCGGATGCTAAGCTACAGGACTGTTTAGCTAGCACAGACAGGAATATGTTCTGGGATTCATCCGATGGCATTGAGGAGTTTACCACATCAGTCACCAGCTTTGTTAATAAGTACATTGACGATGTTGTCCCCACAGTGACTATAAGTACATATCCCAACCAGAAGCCATGGATTACAGGCCACATCTGCACTGAGCTAAAGGCTAGAGCTGGCGCTTTCAAGGAGCAGGACACAAATCCGGACGCTTATAAGAAATCCCTCTACGCCCTCCGACAAACCACCAAACAGGCAAAGTGTCAATACAGAATTAAGATTGAATCCTACTACACTGGCTCTGATGCTCATCTGATGTGGCAGGGCTTACAAACTATCACTGACTAAAAAGAGAAACCCAGCCAAGAGCTTCCCAGTGACGCGAGCCTACCAGATGAGCTAAATGGCTTCTATGCTCACTTCGAGCCAAGCAACACTGAGCCATGAGTGAGAGCACCAGCCGTTCCGGACGACTATATGATCACGCTCTAAGTAGCCGATGTGAGTAAGACCTTTAAACAGGTTAACATTCACAAGGCCGCAGAGCCAGATGGATTACCAGGACACCCACTCAGAGCATGCGCTGGCCAGCTGGCAAGTGTTTTCACTGACATTTTCAACCTCTCTCTGACCCAGTCTGTAATACCTACATGTTTCAAGCAGACCACCCTCAGTTAAACTAATAATGTATGACTAATTAGTAGACTAGACCTTAGAGAGTTAATCAAATGTGTTTATATCCCAGCAACAGAGTATTTGTGTCTTGTAATTAGGCAAGCAGAAGTGCAAAACAATTGAAACCAATAACAGGGAAAGGGGAGTGAAAAAAAGGCTTGCAGGATATTGTGAGGACGGCGATTACTAAAGAATGCAGCCTGCCCGAGCAAGGAGTAGACTATGATAAGAGTATGTGTGTGTGTGTGTGTGTATGTGTGTGTGTGTGACCTGATGGTCAGGAGAGCAGAGGAAAATCACATGAGCTAAACCCAGGTGTGAGCTTACAAGATGTGTACAGTGGAAAAATACAGCCTGCCTAAAGCGGGGTGGGATTTTTGTATGACGTGTGTGTATAAAATATGGACTCTGAAATTGTGATAACAGAATTCTCTGGGCAGAATTCTCTGAATAAAGACGACCTGACTATTGCAGACTGGGAGCTCTGTCCGTTTCTTGATCCAAAAGCCTTACAACCTTTTGGGAGACGCACAGGGACACTGAAATAGTTAGTTAATAAATTATCTTAACAGGTGTCCACATCACTAAGGACCTATCAAGGTCCAAAAACACCAACACTGTCGTGAAGAGGGTACAATAACGCCTCTTTCCCCTCAGAATGCTGAAGAAATTTGGAATGGGCCTCAGAACCTCAAAAAGTTATACAGCTGCACTATTGAGAGCATCTTGACTGTCTGCATCACCGTTTGGTATGGCAACTGCTTGGCATCCAACCAAGGTGCTATAGAGGGTATACGGCCCAGTACATCACTGTAGCCGAACTCCTTGCCATCCAGGACCTCTATACCAAGCAGTGTCAGAGGAAGGCGCCTAAAAGTTGTCAAAAACTCCCGCCAAGTCATAGACTGTTCTCTCTGCTGCTGCACGGCAAGCAGTTCCGGAGCGCCAAGTCTGGGACTAAAAGGCACATGAACAGCTTCTATCCCCAAAACATAAGACTGCTGAACAGTTAATCAAACGGCTACCCGGAAAATGTACATTGACCCCCTTTATTATGTATTTATTTATCTTAATTGTTTAGCACTGACTCCCTTGCACTGGATCTATGCACTCACTAGACTCTACCCACACACTCACACATGCTACACTAAACTCCAACACACACACACAACATACAGTTGAAGTCGGAAGTTTACATACACCTTAGCCAAATACATTTAAAATCAGTTTTTCACAATTGCTGACATTTAATCCTAGTAAAAATTCCCTGTCTTAGGTCAGTTAGGATCACCACTTTATTTTAAGAATGTGAAATGTCAGATTGTAGTAGAGAGAATGATTTATTTTCATCACATTCCCAGTGGGTCAGAAGTTTACATAAACTCAATTAGTATTTGGTAGCGTTGCCTTTAAATTTCAGGTAGCCTTCCACAAGCTTCCCACAATAAGTTGGGTGAATTTTGGCCCATTCCTCCTGACAGAGCTGGTGTAACTGAGTCAGGTTTGTAGGCCTCCTTGCCCGCACACGCTTTTTCAGTTCTGCCCACAAATGTTCTACAGGATTGAGGTCAGGGCTTTGTGATGGCCACTCCAATACCTTGACTTTGTTGTCCTTAAGCCATTTTGCCACAACTTTGGAAGTATGCTTGGGGTCATTGTCCATTTGCGACCAAGCTTTAACTTCCTGGCTGATGTCTTGAGATGTTGCTTCAATATATCCACATAATTTTCCTTCCTCATGATGCCATCTATTTTGTGAAGTGCACCAGTCCCTCCTGCAGAAAAGCACCCCCACAGCATGATGCTGCCACCCCCGTGCTTCATGGTTGGGATGGTGTTCTTCGGCTTGCAAGCGACCCCCTTTTTCCTCCAAACATAACGATGGTCATTATGGCCAAACAGCTCTATTTTTGTTTAATCAGACCAGAGGACATTTCTCCAAAAAGTAAGATATTTTTCCCCATGTGCAGTTGCAAACCATAGTCTGGCTTTTTTATGGTGGTTTTGGAGCAGTGGCTTCTTCCTTGCTGAGCGGCCTTTCAGGTTATGTCGATATAGGACTCGTTTTACTGTGGATATAAATACTTTTGTACCTGTTTCCTCCAGCATCTTCACAAGGTCCTTTGCTGTTGTTCTGGGATTGATTTGCACTTTTCGCACCAAAGTACGTTCATCTCTAGGAGACAGAACGGGTCTCCTTCCTGAACGGTATGACGGCTGCGTGGTCAGATGAACGTGGTACCTTCAGGCGTTTGGAAATTGCTCCCAAGGATGAACCAGACTTGTGGAGGTCTACACATTTTATTTCTGAGGTCTTGGCTGATGTCTTTGATTTTCCCATGATGTCAAGCAAAGAGGCACTGAGTTTGAAGGTAGGCCTTGAAATACATCCACAGGTACACCTCCAATTGACTCAAATGATGTCAATTAGCCTATCAGAAGCTTCTAAAGCCATGACATGATTTTCTGGAATTCTCCAAGCTGTTTAAAGGCACAGTCAACTTAGTGTATGTAAACTTCTGACCCACTGGAATTGTGATACAGTGAATAATAAGTGAAATAATCTGTCTGTAAACAATTGTTGGAAAAATGACTTGTGTCATGCACAAAGTAGATGTCCTAACCGACTTACCAAAACTATAGTTTGTTAACAAGAAACTTGTGAAGTGGTTGAACAACGAGTTTTAATGACTCCAACCTAAGTGTATGTAAACTTCCGACTTCAACTGTAAATGTTTCCCCTTAAACCACTTGAGTGTTGCTTTAGCAGTATGCTTAGCGTCATTGTCCTGCTGGAAGGTGAACCTCCGTCCCAGTCTCAAATCTCTGGAAGACTGAAACAGGTTTCCCTCAAGAATTTCCCTGTATTTAGTGCCATCCATCATTCCTTAAATTCAGACAAGTTTCCAGTCCCTGCCGATGAAAAACATCCCCACAGCATGATGCTGCCACCACTATGCTTCACTGTTGGGATGGTGTTCTCGGGGTGATGAGAGGTGTTGGGTTTGGGCCAGACATAGCGTTTTCCTTGATGGCCAAAAAGCTCAATTTTAGTCTCATCTGACCAGAGTACCTTCTTCCATATGTTTGGGGAGTCTCCCACATGGCTTTTGGCGAACACCAAACGTGTTTGCTTATTTTCTTCTTCAAGTAATGCCTTTTTTCTGGCCACTCTTCCGTAAAGCCCAGCTCTGTGGAGTGTACGGCTTAAAGTGGTCCTATGGACAGATACTCCAATCTCCACTGTGGAGCTTTGCAGCTCCTTCAGGGTTATCTTTGGTCTCTTTGTTGCCTCTCTGATTAATGCCCTCCTTGCCTGGTCTGTGAGTGTTGGTGGGCGGCCCTCTCTTGGCAGGTTTGTTGTGGTGCCATATTCTTTCCATTTTTTAATAATGGATTTAATGGTGCTCCTTGGGATGTTCAAAGTTTTGGATATTTTTTTATAACCCAACCCTGATCTGTACTTCTCCACAACTTTGTCCCTGACCTGTTTGGAGAGCTCCTTGGTCTTCAAGCTGCCACTTGCTTGGTGGTGCCGCTTGCTTAGGGGTGTTGCAGACTCTGGGGCCTTTCAGAACAGGTGTATATATACTGAGATCATGTGACAGATCATGTGACACTTAGATTTTACACAGGTGGACTTTATTTAACTAATTATATGACTTCTGAAGGTAATTGGTTGCACCAGATCTTATTTAGGGGCTTCATGGCAAAGGGGGTGAATACATATGCACGCACCACTTTTCCATTATTTTTTTCCTTTTTACTTCACCAATTTGGACTATTTTGTGTATGTCCATTACATGAAATCCAAATAAAAATCAATTTAAATGATAGGTTGTAATGCAACAATATGAAAAACGCCAAGGGGGATGAATACTTTTGCAAGGCACTGTACTTTATTACCTCAACTACCTCATACCCATTTTTTTAAGCTAATATTTCTCTTACTTTTTAGCTCTGCAATGTTGGGAATGGGCTCATTAGTAAGCATTTCACTGTGAAGTCTACACATGTTGTATTCGGCGCATGTGACCAATAAAATTGTATTTGATTTGATGTTCAATGTTTCTTTTGAAAAATATTTTTAAAGGAATAGTTTCACCATGCTTTACAATGATGGTGAAAGCTTTGAGAAACTTTAGTATTAAGAGGCTTAAGATATTCCTAGAAATCACAGAGGATGCTTAGAGGGACATGTGAAATTCAGAATTTTGGTACTTTAGCAAGTCTTTATTCATGTTAAAATCTGATTTATTGAATTTTCCATGTGGTCTATATTAAAGGACACATTCAATATTTGTGCACAGTTTCTACTTAAAATAGCAAAGGGACACAAAAGACACTCATTTCGTGGAACGACGAACTGTGACACTAGGGTAGAGTTGAACATATTCTCACATGGCCTGGGCTTCCGAGGCTAAATTGAACATAATAATCAAGTCATACTTTTCAGTCCATACAATGTTGAAAGTGAAGTTTAACCTCCAGGTCTGCTACCATGCCGGAGGACAAGGCTGCTTTGTCTGAGGAGCCCTTCCTTGATACAATATCTCTAGCCCTATTCTTCTCACATGACCTAATGCATGCAGGGAATACCCTCACCCCTCAGACAGAGAACCAGTCTCACAAGGACACCACATACAATCTCTTCCAGCCCTAACACCAAGTAAACTCCTCACTAAAAAAAGTATTACTATGGTCTGTGAAACAATGTTCTTATTGGATGCCAAAGAAATCAGTGCCAACATACAGTAAATAGTAGGCAGCTGCCAGCTACTTGGTGATTAACTTGTCAGGCAATGGGCGTGAGAGCAGGAGCATGTGTATGACAGGTTATACTGGATGTTTTCTAGTCATGTATCCAGCCGTGATACTATCAGCCCTGGCAGGGGAAGCTAGATATTTTCCAACTCAGTCCTTTACTCCTTTCAGTTGTAAATCTCCTCAATGTAGCTGGGAAATATTCTGCGACACCCATTGCGTGAAAGAGCAACATGACCAGCTGTAGCCCAATACTCAACACCTCACTATTCACACCATGCTAATACTTAGGGTCTAGAGAAGGTACAGTCCGGATCAGGTTTAAGTTTATGATCCCAGATTAATCTTGATTGAAAATTGAAGTCTCCCTTGTGCACGTACTGGTGAGAAATATTTGAAGACTATTATTCTGGATTCAATTACTGTGATCATGTTCCTGGGCATCAATGCCAGAGAACACCCTGCAGTGCTTTTTTTTTTTCAATGCATTAACTGCAATGCTGTCCACCAGAGACCATCCACCACACATCATAGACCCTTTCCTCAGAGCCAGCCAGCGTAGGGGACTTCCTGTTTTGCAGGTTGGCACTCAGCGGGAATTACGTGCAATGAGATTAATTTCATCAAAGGAACTTGGATGAGCTTTAGGGTTTCACTTCAGAATTGCCCTGGTTTTGCTATACCATTGCATTAGTCCTACATGCCAAATGTTGGCCTTTTCGTAAACAGGTTTTGAAACAAGAACCAAAACAGTCAAAGTTGTGGTAAAAATAAAGTTTAAATGTAAAAAACAAAAACCAGGTTCAGCAAATTCTAGTTTTACCAAATCAGATGCCATAACAGTATATCAGTTGACAAAAAGGATAAAACTCCTTCATGAGTCTTATAGGAACTCTACAATTGCCAATACGGATGGACGGACCCAAATGTAAAATAACAGTATTTGGAGCCAGACATCTAAAGAGTGTACCATACATGATCCAGTAATGTGTCAAATCTGAAGAGACCGAAGTGTTGCCATTTAAAAACACTTCCTATTTATAGTTAATAACATTGAAACAGTACATAGTTTAAATGGCTGGTCAACATACAAAAGTACACAAACTAGCCATAGGTTAAGAAAATTACACATGCCGCCCAGCCATAGCAACCCTAGTCTTCAGCGTCCATATGTGCTTTAGTTCATTTCAGTTCGACAGACGGCAGGGAAAGAGACGAAATGGGGACTTAAACAGTTACATTACAAATACTCCCCACTATAAAACAACCAAAACGAGAAGGGAAAAACAATACCCTGTCAGACATATTTTTTGTTTACATCTCATATGTTACCACCAGATTTAAATCCATTTTAAGTTGACCAGCCAACTTTAAGCTACTTAAAAATGCAAGGTTAGAATCATTTCAGTGGAAAATAAAAATGACAAATGCAGTACTAGTTTGACTTTTCAGTCATTCAAAACATTTTGAAAAGAAAGAGGGTGAGGGGATTCAGTCCAGAGAGCTGTGGATCTCGTATCTAATAGTCCACAGGTTCGTCTCCCTCCTCGCTGAGCAAACAGGTGCGGATCAGAGCCTCCGTCACGGCATACGGGTCACAGTTGGCCGACGGTCGGCGGTCCTCAAAGTAGCCCTTCTTCTCCTGGCCCACGGTGCGAGGGATGCGGATACTGGCGCCGCGGTTGGCTACGCCAGCAGAGAACTCGTGGATGTTGGAGGTTTCATGGTGGCCGGTGAGGCGACGGGCGTTGTCAAGCCCCCCTTTAGGGTCGTAGGCGCGGATGTGGTAGCTATGCCTCTTCCCCAGCCTCTCAATGGACTCCTCAATGGCCCTGAGCAGAGAGAAGGATAATTAAATGAATCACAGAAAAGTACAGGTGGTCAGCACCATTTCCTTTAACTAGAGAACATTTAAATAAGTCTGGCTTAATTCAACATCCAAAAGATATAGATGGGTGATATTGAACAAATAACACTAATGATGCATGCAGATTTCTCATTAAACCTTGTCTGAATGCATCTTGATATGATCCAGTACTCACTTCAACCCGCCTTCTTCCCGCATCTCTTTAGTGCTGAAATTGGTGTGGCAGCCAGCACCATTCCAGTTCCCAGGGATAGGCTTGGGGTCAAACGAGGCCACCACGCCAAAGTCCTCACACACCCGGTGGAGGATGAAGCGAGCCACCCAGAGGTGATCACCCATGCTGATGCCTTCACAAGGACCAACCTGGAACTCCCACTAAAAATGGACAAAACCAGTGTTTCAGTGCGTCAGTCTTATGAATCAGTATTTTCTAATGGCTGATCCTTTGCAATCACATAAATGCCACATTATAAAACAGGATTTGAGCTTACCTGTGCAGGCATTACTTCAGCATTGGTGCCACCGATCATGACCCCAGCATACAGACAGGCTCTATAGTGGGCTTCCACAATATCTCTACCATAAGCCTTGTCAGATCCCACTCCACAATAATAGGGACCTATAGAGAAGCATGGTTTGATTACAATTCAGAAAATTCACAAACTAATGCATCTGCTGGGATAACAAATTGTATAAGGTCAGTCAAAGATCACTATGATGGGTCTTTACCTTGTGGGCCAGGGAAGCCGTTGTTGGGCCAGCCAAATGGGTGTCCATCAGTGCCTAGGATTGTGTACTCTTGCTCCATGCCAAACCAAGGGACCTGGTTCTCAACCATGTCCATTACTTTCTTACACGTCAAACGAAGGTTTGTTTCTGTGCAAATAAATTTACCCATATTAGACACTAAAGCAAAAATATATATAACCTTAGCAAGACCGATGCACACCAAGGATTCTAGGTTACCTGCAGGCTTGTGGTTGTACTTCAGCACTTCACACAATACCAATTTGTTGGGATCTTTGCGGAAGGGATCTCTGAACATTGCAGAAGGAATCAAATACATATCACTGTTTGAGCCCTCAGACTGGTAGGTGCTGGAGCCATCAAAGTTCCATTCCGGCAGTTCTATAGAATCAAAGCAAATTATTTAGTTAACTCAAGTCACTCAAAACAACTAGGTAGGCTACAAAATAATAAATTATGCATACAACGCCCAGAAATTCAACTCGAATGCCAACCAACAAAGAAAAAAGTAAGCCCTTCGGTTCTAATTATTGCATACCCTCGATGCTCTTGGGCTCTGAATCCAGTGTTCTGGTTTTGCAGCGGAGTCCCTCTCCGGTGCCATCTATCCAGACGTACATGACTTGGACTTTGTCTCCCTGAGGGAGTGCCATGTACTGCTGTTTAACAGCCTTACTCAGTTCGGCGCTGGCGGACGTAGCCATCTTGTTTGTTATAAAACCCCTAAGAATTGACGACGAAAAGAAAACATGTACGATGAGTTTACATCAAAGCAGCCGCCTTATTGACCAGCATTGATTTCATTGAAGAAGCATGATGTTGCACAACAGCGCGTTCGGAGACAGGGTTGTGTATTGTTCCTTGTTCCAAAACTAATCAAAGCACGCACGCGAAGATGTCGCTTAGCCATTTTCTTTAGTTTAAATCAATGTCCGAGTCAAAACAGATGTTTGCACCACTTCAAGTAGAACAAGTCTGACAAAAATACATCAATGTCTGCCATATTGATCACAGATGACCATTCCTAGATTGGTAGGCTATGAACCACCATAAGCCATGTTGCACTAATTAACACATTTCCCAACAACAATATTTTATCATCATCATCCTCCTTTGAACCCAAGGAAACAAACTAGTTACCTCTTGTTGCGGCATCCCCAGAACAACCCCCACCCACTGTAGTCATGGCTACACACTATTGCAATTCTAATAATACATCGCACATTTCCTTCATAATTTATAGAACAATTAATCTAACATTACATAATAGAGAGGAGATCAATAAATTATCAAAGACACCACAAATTTGACTTCATCAGACTAAAAATAAGCATTTCCATGTAAGGAAAAAGTGACTAAATAAAAAAAAAAAAGGTGTCATCTACTCTGGAACGAGGAAATAACTAGGCTACAATAGAATAGGTCAAATAAAAAAAGGTAGGCAGTAGCTATATCATAAGGAAAACATTTGAAAATTACCTGGAAAAAATTGAATTTTTTTATAATAACTAAAGGACTGGCAAGTCCAATATAACATTAAAAAATATCCCGATAGTTGTTCTCTCATTCTAGCCTCGACCGCTTGTTTCAGTTCAATTTATAACAAGAAGAGCTGGAGCTCGGCGTCTTTGATTGGTCAGAAAAAAAGTGAGTGAAAGCATACGCGGCTCGATCATTGGACGGGGTTCTAGCAATAGTTAAAAGGCATTGCGTGTCATTTTGGTAGACTGATACAATTTAACCAGTACGGTACAGTTGATGAAATAACCAGTGTGGGCTATTTAGTACCTACACCATTACAAAGAGCAGAAAACTTTAGGTTACATAAAGTACTACACTGCCTGGAAATATATGTATATTTAAAGCCAATCGAGATTTGATGGGAGATTGACCTTCATTCCATCTAAGGGAAAATAAAACTCCCTGAAAAAGCCTCTCATCAGTGTATTAACAGAAAAGATGCGCTGGTTGACATCAGCTATATTTCCAACGCCACCCTGTGGTACAAATAGGCTATTGATGTACTGAGAAACTAGTAGTCACGGGCTATAATTACAAATAACTGAATACCAATTAGATTTAACTAGTTTCTCAGCTTAGAAAATATTACATTTGATGAGAACCTTCGTATGCTATAGAAATCCTTTGTTTTTACACTGCTGCTACTCGCTGTTTGTTATCTATGCATAGTCACTTTACCCCTACCTACATGTACCCCTACCTACATGTACCCCTACCTACATGTACAAATTACCTCGACTAACCTGTACCTGTACCACCCCACATTGACTCGGTACCGGTACCCCCTGTATATAGCCTCGTCATTGCTATTTTATTGTGTTATTTTTTACTTGATTTTATTTAGTAAATCTTTTCTTAACTCTATTTCTATTGTTGGTTAAGGGCTTGTAAGTAAGCATTTCACGGTAAGGTAAGCATTTCACCTGTTGTAGTCGGCGCATGTGACAGATACAATTTGAATCATTAAAATTAGCATTTCTAGGTAAATATTTCTCATTTCTGGAACATTGATCAAATAAGAGGTCTGCACAATGAATTAACTACTACTACAGGACCTTCATTTCTGTATTATTCTGAAGTAGGCTATATCATGGTCACTGTGGAGTAGCAGAAAAGTTGACAATCTCTTTGGCATTAGGGTATTGGTTTTCCATGAGGGGAGAGAAGGATGACTAGACTACAGTAGGCTACAAAGTGAGAGATGGTGTCAAGACATTCCAATTTCACCCAACAATGATACATTTGGAACATTTGACATTTATGACATCACTTCAAGAACGCGAAACTTGTGGAAAGACTGTTGTAAAGATGTTTTTGTAATGGTGTTCCTAAAGGCCTAGCTTTTATTTCTATATGGACAACTACTTAATCTTACGTAATTGATCAGACAAAAGGGATGCCTTTTGGAAGTTTAAGAGGGTACACATCTCAAATGACACCAAGAACAGGTGGGTAGCTATGACTGATGCACGTTTTTACTCTGTGTGTGATAACTTAGATAAATAACATTTTAATTTCCATGAAAACATGTGGTCTACTTCTAGGAAGACAAAGTGATAAAGCACTTGCGGACCTTTTTAAAGATTACGTTTTTTAGAATTTCTTCAATACATTTGAATTTGCCAGTATGTGCGCATTTCTTCAGTTAAAATCAGTAGCTACCATTGTTGATTCTGTATCGCTTGGATACACTTAGTTCTCATGTATGTCTTAGCCTAGGTGTTTGTTCAAACTCAGTTATGTGTTCTATCCTAAAACAATTGGTACTTGTGTCCAGAAATTCCATGCATCCAGGTAACCAAACCATCTTTGAAAAGTCAATGAATTACACACACTGATTTAGGTATACAAAACAATCAAATTATCAACAAGATTCCCACATTCAAGCTGATAAGTCAAATTGCTACTGAGTGGCCTGTCATTCATTGCAGGATGTGAGAAGAGGTAGGTTCCTGGTATGACAGATCGTATCGTGTAAAGAGTTCCTGCAGTTTTCGTCATGACAAGCTGAAAGTAAATATGTTTGGAGTAGATAAGTTGAATGGGTTGTCATCTTGACACGTTGCAAGACTGTGCCTTTTTCCTGATTAAAAGAATGTTAGAAAATATTGAATATTAGTTTCCAGCCCAGAGAAAGGCATACAGCTGTGACAATGTTCCACCGTGTCATAGTAGGCCTGTATTGAGAGTTAGCAAACCATTTGAAGCATTGTGATAATATACACTGAACCTAATATAAATGCAACAATTTCAACGATTTGGCTGAGTTACAGTTCATATAAGGAAATCAGTCAATTGCAATAAATTCATTAGGGCCGAATCTATGGATATCACATGACTGGGCAGGCGTGCAGCCATGGGTGGGCCTGAGAGGGCATAGGCCAACCCACAGGGGAGCCAGGCCCACCCACTGGGGAGCCAGGCTCAGCCAATCAGAATGAGTTTTTCCCCCACAAAAGGGCTTTATTACAGACAGAAATACTCCCCAGTTTCATCAGCTGTCCAGGTGGCTGGTCTCAGACGATCCCGCAGGTGAAGCCAGATGTGGAGGTCCTGGGCTGGCGTGATTACACATGGTCTGCGGTTGTGAGGCCGGTTGGACGTACTGCCAAATTCTCTAAAACGACGTTGGAGTCGGCTTATGGTAGAGAAATGAACATACAATTCTCTGGCAACAGCTCTGGTGGACATTCCTGCAGTCAGCATGCCAATTGCACACTCCCTCAAAACTTGAGACAATTGTGGCATTGTGTTGTGTGACAAAACTGCACATTTTAGAGTGGCCTTTTATTGTCCCCAGCACAAGGTGCACCTGTGTAATGATCATGTGGTTTAATCAGCTTCTTGATATGCCACACCTGTCAGGTTGATGGATTATCTTGGCAAAGGAGAATGGTTGTGCTGAAAGAGGTCTACAAATAAAATGAATGCACAATGAAAGGTTTTGAATGTAAGACTGGCTGCGTTACAAGTATTACCAGTTTGGAGTTTTATACTAAGAGTTTTTCAAATTCACCACTTACTTGTGAAAATAGTACCAAAGCGATACATTAAAAAAAAAAAATACCCCTGAGATAAGAAGTTACTTAAATGTATGTGGTAAGTGGCCATTTGTTTGTGTGTGTGTGCGTGTATGCCTGCGTGGGTGTGTGTCTTGTGTACCTGAAGGAGAGGGGCAGGTGACGTTCTCTGAGAGAGTGCAGCGCTCCAGATAGACTGGCAGCAGGATGAAACCCAGAGGAACCTCTACCAGGCCCTGCTCACTGTCATCAGGGCTGTCCACCTCACAGAGGGCTCCAGCATTATGACCACCTGTTGCATCCCCTCGGGTAACACAGGAGGGTCTGCGTCCCAAATGGCACCCTATCCCTTTATTGTGCACAACTTTTGACCAAAGCCCTATAGGCCCTGGTCAAAAGTAGTACACTGAATAGGGTACCATTTGGGATGCATACAGGGGTTAGCCTAGTGTTATTGTACAAAGCACTGTGACATATATAGTTATATGGACTATATAGATACAAATTGATTGACACTGCTCTGTTACATATGTATGGCCCTACTACAGTAGTAATATACTGTAGCCTATGTAATGTAACCAACAAAGTAAACATGGATTCTATACAGTACATAGTTTAAACATGTCATGGTATGTTAACACGTTTACGTCATGCTGTATCACCATGTGTTCCACAATGACCCAATGTTAACCACCATGTCACCACTTTTTGATACCATGGTCCTCCTCAGAGGGTTTGTTGAAGATCATCTCGGAGAGTGAGCCTGGTAGGATGAAGGATCAGTGGCAAGAGGGAGGGCAGAAGCAAGGAGGAGGAAGTTGGAGCTCAAAGAGAAGTACCAGTACTCCTCTCCTCAGAAAGTTGAGCTCTACTACGCTTCGGTCCAGCACCGGCCCCCTCCCGGTCCTGCCCGTCCAAGAGCCTTCCCAGCCTGGACAGCAGGAGCAGTGATCCCATAATCCCCCCTCACCCCTGCATGGAGACCCCGATCTGCCACCTCCCCTCTGGCAATGTGATGCCCTGGATCTACATGGCCAAGCAGGAATTATACCAGGTGGGTGTTAAACGTTTGACTGCAGTATGTGCTTGACAGCAAAGTGATAACATGGACAGTCATGTCTTTTATACTTTTCCCTCACCCCTTGATTACAAACTCATATATTCAGTATCAGTACAAGGCTCTCCCTTTCCATTTGAGCAGATTCTGGGTCCCACCTACAATGAATTTCAGGATGAAGACAAACCCCTCTTCTAGCTGGTAACTAATTTATAATCTGATTGATAGGATAGAGGAATTTTAAAAACAGCTACACCAGATCCTCCTGTAATTTTACTCCTCTATGTTCTCTCTCAGTTCACTCAGAATGAGGTCACGGGGAAAGTGAGTCGTGGAGCGACAGTGCCCTCTAGTGCTCCCACTGCTCCAGAGCAGCAGGTGAGGAGGATGAGGGAGGCTCTGGCTCATTGGCAGGCCTGCACTGAGCCTCTCACTGAGGAGACCTGGACCCTCCTGCCTTTAGAGGACATCAGGAAGAAAGGCTCAATCCACCTGCACTACAGGAAGACCAGTAAGAACAGAATGAGTGCCATTTGGTTGTAGTAGAAGTACTCTACGGACAAAAGTTGTACCGAATAGTGCAAGGACATGACAGAAGGTTGTAATTGTGGATCCTCTCCTCAGATCTGTACGACCTTCCATTTGAAACCTTAGCTTAGAAGTACCCCAAGATGGCTATGGAGGAGATCAGTCAAACTCATAGGCTCTATTGTGACTGGAAGCCAGTACAGGGTATGATAGAAAAAGTTTATGTAATTTCAATCAGCTTCAATGATAACAGTCAATGAAACATAATAAAAATGTGTCCTTTAGAGGAGATCCCAGAGAAGCCAGTGGTGACATCCACCAGTACTCCGGCTACGAAGGACCACAGCTTTGCCCGAAGACCATCCATGAGACCAAGGTCTTTAGGGGAGATGAAAAGTCCCACCAACCTGGACTTCTTCAAGCATTACGTGAAGGCCTATGAAGCTCACGGGGCTCTGAACTTCTA